ATTGAAGTATCGGTAAGTATTATAGAAATATCTTATAATTTAATATAATTTTTTTAAAAAAAATTAAACTTTAATTTAATTTAATTTAATTTTAAAATAAATAATCTATATTATATTTTTATATTTTTTTAATTTTGATTATTGGGTTTTAATATTACGATTAATAACTCTCTTTATTTGATTTTAGGGTCACAACATAAGGAGGAAGAGAAGATTATTTCATTAATATTCAATTTTTAATTTAAAAAAATTATATTAAAAATATATATTATAGTACTATAAAAATGAAAAAAAAAACTATCAATCTCTCATTAAAAAAACTACCAATATCTCTCATTATTGGCCATTAGAAACTGGGTTTGGGTACGGTCACTGGCTGCATGCAGGGGCTGTGACTGTTGTCACGGTATGGCTATGAGCATTGTTGGGACGACAGGTCGACAAGGAGTGCAAGGGATGTTGCTGTTGTTAGGGTATGGCTATGAGCATTGTTGGGATGACAGGTCGACAAGGAAGTTGTTGATGGGCTACTAACGCTAATTCTCTTGAAAGGTCCTCTAGAAAACTGTGTGTTCACAGTTGATTATGATCGGAAGGTGTTGGACGACAAGCTTCGTTCGTTTTGCAAGTCTTGATCAAGATCTACCATAGAAGTTTTGCATGCCCAATAAGTACAAAATGTTATTATGTTCGAAACAATTCGACCAAGATTCGTGTTGGATTTGATATATATACTCTAAACTAGAGTTGTTTTTCAATTAAATATGTAATGTTCAAATCATTATAACTGACTAATATTATTCATTTATATTTATTATAAAAAATGAATTATTCTCAATTAAATATATAACGTTCAAATTATTATAGTTGACCAATATTATTCATTTATATCTATTATAAAAAATGGATTATAAATACTGTTTATATTTTTTTAAAAATTAATACAAATATAAAGATCTTGTTTTTGAAAAATAAGAAAATTAATATGGGTAGATTAATTATTTTTTTTAGTCTTTTAAAGAACAATGATAACATGAAAAATAAAAACAAAGCCTAAAAACAAAGCCTAAAATGTTTTAGGGTGAGAAAAAGATTCATTTACATAAAATAATAATTATATCCATTAAATTCTTTAATTTTTATAATAGATTAATTTTTTGATAACTCAATTAAAATAAACTGTGGATGAATATTATATTGGGTAATTAGTAATTTTGTTTAAAAGCCTAAGATAATTAAAATTTTACAAAAAAAAATATTTTTTTTCAAAATTCAAAATGTTTCGAAATTAAAATCTTTAAATAATTTTTAAATTTGGAATATTTTTTATACATAAATCATGAAATTAATAATTATAATTTCTTTATTATTGTAAATTATTAAAATTACTTATTTATTAAACTTTAATTTAATTTAATTTTAAAATAAATAATTTATATTTTTAATTTTTATATTTTTTAATTTTGATATTGGGTTTTAATATTACGTTAATACTCTTTTTTATTTGATTTCTAGGGTGACAAGATGAGGAGAGAGACCATTATTTCATTAATATTCAATTTTTAATTTTAAAAAATATATATTAATAAATATAAAAAATGAAAAAAATTACCAATCTAAGGCCATTAGAAACCGGATACGGTGGATGGAGAGGCTGTACTCGAGTAGTATCTACATTTTACTCCATATATACAAATTCTAAATGTCATTTGGATCGGGTCTTTTTTTGCCAATTTTTAGGTAATCGCAGTTAACATGTCATATTATCTTGGATGGATCAACGATACGATCGTAGAGTTCTTGTCATTCTAAAACAGGCTAACTTACTTACTGCACCTTAAAGCTTGACAGTCGAGATGTTTAAATCGATAATGTTGATAAGCGATTCACAATTTTCTTCTCCACCACTTTTGTGTTCTTGTGTCTTTGGTATACTGAGCATTATCGGGACGACAGGTAGACAAGAAGGTTGCTGACGGGCTACTAAGGCTAATTCTCTTGAAAGATCCTCGAAACTACTTGTTCACTGGCGATTATGATTGGAAGGTGTTGGACGACACGCTTCGTTCGTTTTGCAAGTCTTGATCAAGATCTACAACAGTGTTTCAATTTGTGTGCAAGTTTTGTATCATATTGAAAATATATACCCAAATAAATATAAAATGTAATAGGATTTTCATTAATTTAGTCCTTATTATATAAATATTGGGAGAAAAATGACTAATCTTAGGTTCGAAACAACCTAGATTCATATCCAAATTTGATTCTATATATATATATATATACTCTAAACTATAGTTATTTTTGTCAATTAAATATGTAGTAACAAATATTATTTATTAATGTATACATATTATAAAAAATGAATTATAAATAAGTTTTATTTCTTTTTTAATTTAATACAAATACAAATATCTTGTTTTTTAAGTAAAAAAAAATGAATATTTGTCGATTAATTATTTTTTTAGCAGTCTTTCAAAGAACAATAATAACATAAGCTTGTTGATGACAAGTCTAACTTCTCCTTAGGCCGAGCAGCGGAGTCAGGCTGCGAGTAGAGAACACTTAATTAAAAGACTAGATAATCAGATTGACCTCACCTGATGGCTTGGAAAAGACTGAGATTCTGACTGACGCCCTGGATTCATTCATATAATGTGTTTACGGCTTATCAGCCCCCCATCCCTACTTGACTAAGCTAAGGAACTACTGAAAATGGCACGAAATCACAGACGGAAGTAAGAAAGAAGAAGGCTACTCATACGGGAATATGAAAGCTACTCGGCCTGACAATGTAGCGTGGACAACAAAACAAATGCTAAATTCAGCGTCGACAATTAAGGCTAAAATGTTTATATAAAATAAAACAAAGGTTAAAAGGTTGAGATTGAGAAAAAGATTAATTTATATAAAATAATAATTATATCCATTAAATTTTTTAATTTTTATTTTATAACTGCATGATTTAAAAGTAAAAGAGAAATCATGAATGAGTTAAGATTATATCTAAATGAGTCATCTTAAATTATATCGGAATGAGTGATCCTGAATATTTAATTTTTCGATAACTCAATTATAATAAACGTGCTTAGTTTGGAGGAATATTACATTGAGTGCCTCTAGCAAAAAAAATTTAGAAAGTATATTTTAAATTCAAATTACTGAAAAAAAATATATTTTCAAAATTCAAAAGGTTTCGAAATTAAAATTTTTAAATAATTTTTAAATTTGGAATATTTTTTATACGAAATTAATAATTATAATTTCTTTATTATCAAATTTCGATAAATTATTAAAATTATTTATTTATTTATTAAAATATTTTTAAATATTAGGGGATAATTTTATGTGTTTTATATTTTTTAAAAATTAAATATAAAATTTAAAAAATAAAATAAAAACCGTTTCTATTTTATTTAATTTATGCTAAATAAATTTAAAAAGTTATATTTATAAAAATAATAATCTCATTTATTTTAAAAAGTTATATCATTTCAAATCTTAGATTTTTTTTTTTTTTTTTAAATCTTTCGAATATATTATATTCATTAAAATTTAATAAAAAATTATTTTCTTTTTCCCTTTAAATAGGTTCTTGAGCATCAACACTTCTCACCATATTTTCTTTATACAAATATTTATTCTTCTCATATACAAATCGTCATGGAATTGTCTAATGGGGTTGGTGCTTCCACTACCCCTCGATATTTCATACCACCTGTTCAATTTAGTCAACCTTTGACTCCTCAACCAGGTAAGTTTCGAACAAATTATTAAATAATAGTTCATTTTATTATAATTTTTTTGTTTTCTCATTCCATAATTATATATTTATTATTTTTTTTTGTTAGGATTTTTACCGATGGATTATTATATTTGTTCACATCACATGTATAATCCTTCACGATCAGCACCGCCTCTACCTTCACGACGATCAGCACCGCCTCTACCTTCACGATTAGCACCGCCTCCACCGCTACAATCGTATCAAACAATAAATTTTTGTGAAGGACTTTATTGGAGAATAATAAATCAAGTTAATTATTATTTTAGGTAATTATATAATTTATATTTATAATTAAATTAATTAGTTTTTAACAATTTTGTATTTACATTTTTTTACTTTTAAAAATATTAATTTTTATTTTATTTTTTATATGATAATTTTAAATTTTAAACTCATTTATAAAATATATGTTTAGATTTTATATTTAAAAAATAATTGTCTACTAAATTTCAACTTTTAATAAAATTTATTATTAAGAATATTATTTAATAAATTTATTATTGATGCAGTGATAAAAATTTAATTAAAGACACTTATTTAAGGAGGCACATGGATAAGTATGGATGGGTTTCTATTACCTTAATAGCTAATTTTCCAAGAGTAAGTAAAATTTTATGTTTTATTTTGATGATTTATAAATTTTGTATGTTATTTTTGTTTTATTAATATCATTTATTTTATAGATGCGCCAGCTAACCAATGATATTGGATTTATTTTATTTGCATTACGTGGTTCAAGTGTGATTGAAGTATCGGTAAGTATTATAGAAATATCTTATATATTTTTAAAAAATTAACTTTAATTTATTGATTTTAATATTAGATTAACAATTTTTTTTATTTGATTTTAGGGTGACAAGATAAGGAGGAAGAGATTATTTCATTAATATTCAATTTTTAATTAAAAAAATTATATTAAAAAAATATAAAAAATATGAAAAAAATATGAAAATAGGCCCACCACTAACTGAAGCCCACTAGCCCCTCCTCAGTTCTGTTCACTGCCCGCCCTCTTCTCCTTTCAGTTCTCTTCACCGCCCGCCCTCTTCTCCTTTCTTTCTTCTTCATCACTCATCTATCCACAACAACCACCATAAATTTTTATCAGAAACTCAGATGTTTTCAGCACAGTTAGATCATTTTCCTCGAACTTATCTCAAAATCGCCTATACGCTAATTTGGCCCTTCCGGCTCGTGTCCGATTGGGGTTGAGTTCAATCGGAATGGGTTTTGTGGGTCGAGATTTGCTCAAATTATGGATCAATTGTCGGCTATCCGATTTGTATTGGATCCGGTCTTCTCGATCAGCCTGAGATTCTCGAGAGGTATGTGGACAGTGGTGAATTTGTTTGATTGGTCACTGGATTTGTTCCTAAATCGTGCATGTTTTCTAATTTACGGTGGTTTTACTGCAGCATGTTCATGGGGGGAGAGTTGTAATAGTCACGAATAATACTGTTGGACCATTGTATCTAGATAAAGTTAACCACAATCTTGAATAGGACACTCATGGAAGTCTTTGACAAGGCTATCGAGTCGAGGCTCGATCGGTGATGTACGTTTGTCGCCCTTGGAGGTGGTGTCATTGGTGATATGAGTGGTTATGCTGCTGCTTCTTTCCTTCGTGGGGTTAACTTCATTCAGATTCCCACAACCGTTATGGCACAAGTATGCTGCTGCCTTTCTGAAATGTGTTTTCTAGCTTTGTTTTAGCTTGAAATTAGCCTTTGTTCAACATGTCCTGTTCTTGTCTGTATGTTGTAGGTGGACTCTTCTGTTGGGGGAAAGACAGGGATAAATCATCCTCTGGGAAAGAACTTGATTGCCGCATTTTACCAAGGTTTGTGCGTTATATGTTATTGTCTTTGTGCTTCTATTTCCGCTAAAACATATAGATGTAACCGTTCAAACTTACCGCTAATAGATATTGTTTGTTTTGGCCCATTAGTATCTTTGTTAGACTCATAATCTTTAAAACGTTAGGTTAGAGAGAGATTTTCACACCCTAATAGTGTTTCATCCCTTTTTCAACCGTGAGATCTCACAATCCACCCTGTACAGCATGTTGACAAGAAGGTTGCTGATGGGCTACGAAGGCTCGTTCTCTTGAAAGGTCCTTTAGGTGTGTTCACCAATGATTATGATCAAAAGGCGTTGGACAACACGCTCTGTTTGTTTTGCAAGTCTTGATCAAGATCTAGAAGAGTGTTTCAATATGTGTGGTTTTGTATTATAAAATTCAATAATATTTTTTTATTAATTTAGGCTTTATTATATAATAAAAAAATAACAGAAAATATAAAATCTTATCTGAATCGAAATAATTCGACCAAAATTCATATTTGAATTTGATATATATATTCGCTGTCTTTCTCGATTAAATAGGTAACGTTCAAATCATTATAACTAACAAATTTTATTTATTAATATATACAAATACAAATATCTTGTTTGTATAGAGAGAAAATTAATATTTGTAGTTAATTATTTTTTTACCTGTTTTAAAAGAACAATAGGTGAAAATGTTGAGGGAAAAAGATTAATTTATATAAAATAATAATTTATCAACAAAGTCTTAAATTTTTATAACGGTAGGATTTGTAGGTAAATGAGAAATACATAAATTATATCTGAATGAGTAATCTTGAAGATTTTGATTGCGTTTTTCAATAACTCAATTATACCAAATATTATATTGGGTGATCTGTCGAGAATTTTCTAGAAAGCATGTGAGTAAAAAGACAAAATGTGATAAAATGATCGGTAATTACTAATTTATTTTAGAAAGTATGTAAGTGAAGGTAAAATGTGCTGAAATAGCCCATAATTACTAATCTGAATATGTTGGCTAAAAAGCATGTGAGTGAAGACAAAATATGCTGAAACAACCCGTGATGTTCCATGAAATGTCGGGTTAGGTAAATTTGTAGTTTAGTACAAATAAAATTAAAAATAAATAAATAAATAAATAAGCTTAAAAGTAAAAAAAAAAAAATGAAATAAAAGAGTACTCAACAAACCAAGGTTTGTTGGCGAAGATTGGTTTGCTCAACGAACGCTTCATCGGCATTATTTCCCGGCTTCCAAAGGTTTCTCTTTCTTCCTTCTCGCTCTCTCTCTCTCTCTCTCTCTCTCTCTCTCTCTCTCTGCAACCATTCTTCCGCCTCCATTGATTCTCAATTCTTCCTTTTGTTACTGTCTTTTCCACTTTCTCCAAGGGTTAGCCCTCTTCTTCTTCTTCTTCAATTTCTCTTTTGGTTCTTCCCTCATTTCTCCTCTTTTGGTTCTTCCCTCATTTCTCCTCTTTTTCTCCATTTTAGGGTTTTCTTCAGTTGTTTGATTTTCCGTCTCTTCTCTTTCAGATGCGCTATTGACTGTTGTCCACCAACTGTCGGAGGAAGGAGGAACTGCACTTTGAACCGCCGCCGTTTACTAGTTAGAGGGTTTTCTTTCGTTTTTTGTTGTCCTCAGGTTCACGATCTGAGGCCCCTTTTCCCTTTCTGGCTTCTCAACAATGAGCGCTTCACGGTTCATCAAGTGTGTCACCGTTGGCGATGGTGCTGTTGGCAAGACTTGTCTCCTTATTTCCTATACCAGCAACACCTTTCCCACTGTCAGTCTCTCTCTCTCTCTCTCTCTCTCTCTCCTTTTGAGACTTTTTCTGTTGCTTCAATGCCATTCTTTGTTGTGTTTTTTATTCTTCTTTCGTTGTTCGGGATGGGAGGGAATTGCACTTATTGATACCACTGAATGTTGAAACTATGTAATCGATTTGATTGGTTTGTGTTTTTGTTTCCTTTGAATTATCGTTGCTCTATTTGATTTCTGTTGCTGGGATCGGGATTTTTATGTAATGTCTTGCCTAGTAATAACGAATGGCTCGGTTAACATGGGATCTATTGGTATTCAAGATTTTATTTTTTACTTTTGCTTCTGCCATTTGGCTTCAATTTCTTCTTTTCTTTTTGTAAAGAGTTCGATGTGAAATCCTTGGTCTATGATTGCGTGTTAGAAATTCAATGAGCAGATGGGTATTTTAATATTTTCCATCCATGTCTTCTTTTTCTTTTATGAAAAGAAAATTTTTGAATTAAGATGATCATTTGCATTATATATTTACCTTTTGTTTATTACTTTCATCTATAATCGTGTTTTTCTCTTAGTTATTTCCTGTTCTAAGAAACTTACTATTTATTTATTTATTTTCGAAATGTGCTGGAATGTAGGATTATGTGCCTACAGTTTTCGACAATTTCAGCGCAAATGTGGTTGTGAATGGGAGCACTGTTAACCTAGGGTTATGGGATACAGCTGGTATTTTTGATATTCTATCATTTTCTTATCTTTTCAGTGTTCCTACTTTGTTCCTTGGGGCTGAATTTGTTATTCTATGGAACAGGACAGGAGGATTATAACCGACTAAGGCCTTTGAGTTATCGTGGGGCTGATGTTTTTATTTTGGCATTCTCTCTCATTAGCAAGGCCAGCTATGAAAATGTTTCTAAGAAGGTATAATGACGGATGATGATAAGTCTTTCTCCGGTTTTGAACATTTACTAGTTCTTGAAATATAATTACTAATTCTTTATGTCCATATTTTTTGCATGATATCCAGTGGATTCCAGAGTTGAAACATTATGCTCCAGGAGTACCAATTGTTCTTGTTGGAACTAAGCTTGGTAAATTATATTTCTCATGTTCTTCGAATCTTTCATTATTTGATTCTTGTTTGGCTTTCGCTTACTTGACAATTAGATTCTATATAATGTACGTTTAGGCTATGCCATCATTTCTCATTTTGAAATCTTATGAGAAAAATATTATGTCTGGTTTAAAGACGCGGTTTAAAAACCTTGAGGGGAAGCCCGAAAGGGAAAGTCCAAAGAGGACAATATCTGCTAGTGGTGGGCTTGGGCCGTTACAAATGGTATCGGAGCCAGACATTGGGTGATGTGTCAGCGAGGAGGCTGTTCCCTGAAGGGGGTAGACACGAGGCGGTGTGCCAATAAGGATGCTGGGCCCCGAAGGGGGGTGGATTTGGTGAGGTTCCTACATCGATTGGAGAAAAGAACAAGTGTCAGCGAGGACATTGGGCCCTAAAGGAGGGTGGATTGTGATATCCCGCATCGGTTGGGGAGGAGAACGAAACACTCTTTAGAAGGGTGTGGAAACATTTTCCTAGCAGACGCATTTTAAAAACCTTGAGGGGAAGCCCGAAAAGGAAAGTCCAAAGAGGACAATATCTGCTAGTGGTGGGCTTAGGCCGTTACATTGTTTATCTTGTACCAATCCTTCACCTCGTCGTAAGAAAATCTCTTGTTACACACTGGTGAGTATGATCATTAATTCAAAAATTACGCATAGAGTCCTCACTTTGAGATCGAAGGAGGAGACGCAGCAATGCCTCCAAAATCCTCAATCCTCGGTGGTTGCAAAGCTCATATGGAGCAATCTGCACCAAATACTTCGTGAAGAATATGTAAAAGAATAATTTCCCCCCCTCTCTGTGAGCCTTAAGTGTTGGGGGAGCATTTGCTCATTTTAAGAATCTGCCCATCTTGTCGACTTACAACTTCTTTGGGTTGTCTACCCTCTAGTGTACTTAATATTTTTGTGTTGGTGTTGGTCGTCTAGTATCTTGGTGTATATTTCAATGCCTGTTACCGGTCAATGTGATTAAAACAACATAAAGACTGCTGGCTCTAGCATGTAGTACACATTTGTTGAAATACTGTCTCTTCTCTACTGAGATATGATTAGGATTCTTCGTTGCCTCTTCTTTTAACAATTTCTGATGTCAAGCTCTCCTCTCCATTTTACTTGAAAGAAATTTTTTTAATGAAAAGAGACTTACAAAAATGATTCTTCCTAAAGTACCTTGTGAAGTTGGATCATACAAAACCTTAGGAAGTACAATGTTCTTTTTCTGACTAGATGTTTGTTCCCGTAGTGTCCATGTTATCAAGAATGGCAAATGTTTGGAATTGAAATCATATTTAGCACTTCCCTCCTGACATCACCGTCATTTGCATGGTTGAAGCTAATCTGTCATGTGGTTGGTCTTTTGGACAAGTAACACAGAAGGTTTCAATTATTGGATATTATTTATTGGCTTGGAGTAAGCCTCGACTTCACTCACTGCAGAGAAAAAAACTTCATCAACACTTGTAGGCTAGAAGGTGAAGTAGAATTGATTTGTAGTATTATGATCCTGATGGTTATTGGCTTGGGTAACTGAATGGTTTCTTGCAAGCGTACATGTACAATTTCTGGCTTGATTAGATTGCGAAATTTGTTTACAAGTTAATGGTATTGATCTTGTAAGTTATCTTCTCCAATTCTGTATTGAGATTGATTATGCTGTTAAATGTTGGTAACATGTGGTGCCATCAATGACTGCCCTGGATTAGTTCTCATTGATGTTTATTTTTTACGAAATAGATCTTCGAGATGATGAACAGTTCTTTATTGACCATCCCGGTGCAGTTCCCATTTCAGAAGCCCAGGTAAATGTTTATCCCAGATGATTTTACATTTTCAAGGTGTTTTTGCTTTTTTGGTATAATTTGGATTTCTTGTCAATGTCAAGGGAGAGGAGCTCAGGAAGCTGATCGGTGCTCCTGCGTACATCGAGTGCAGTTCAAAAACTCAGCAGGTATTTGTATTCTTATGCGAGTGATCTGGTGTTTTGGCATCGCAGTATGGATTATTGATTTGGTTTTGAACGTGTTGTAACCACAGAATGTGAAGGGAGTTTTTGATGCCGCAATTAGGGTTGTACTTCAACCTCCAAAGCAGAAGAAAAAGAAGGGCAAATCTAAAGCGTGCTCGATATTATGAGCAGAACTCTAGTTGTGAAAACATGACCCTTTGTCTTCCTGTATTCTCTCATCCTTTTTTTTTCTTTCTTTCCTTTTGATTATGTAGTGGCCTGAAAGTCTGATTTATTTCTGTCCCGCAATACTCGCAATCTCTGTGAAGCATCATCGGGTAGTTTATTACTGCATTCCTGAAAATCACGTGGTATCGAATGAAAAGACAAGTCATGTTCCTCACCTTATTTTAGCCTTTGGTTTGAATTGTGTACTAATAGAGATTTGGATACTGGAACACGCTACTACTACAAGGGTTAGGAAGCAACAATTTGTTTTTGGT